TGTTACCACTCCTTCCCTATTCGTACCTAAATAGTAGATCATTTTTCAACTATATTGTTTTGATCTTAGAGAAAGAACTATATTGTTTTGATCTTATATTACACATTTTGATCTTACATTAACATAATCTTTTTTAATAAATCGTAGTACAAATTTATTCGCTATTAGACTATCACTGCTTGGTTTGTGGATATTTATTTTAATATCGAAGACTCTGCTGATTAAAAAGCTAGTGGTCAACTAGATGAAGGTTTGACTCTATAATACGAAGTGGTTAATTTTGAGAATTAGCGATAACGGTTACGCTGTGCGAAAGTTTGCTTAAAGACACCAAATAGCACCAATCAATGAATACGTTTTCTTTTCATTCAGCATTAGCTATTCTTTTTCCAAAGAACTTCTTAAAAATAACAAAGTTGGCTGACGCAATGAGCACTTATTGAACTCACAAATTTTTAGATCAAGCTCTAAAATAGAAGCTGTTCGATAAAAGATTTGCATACCATTTGACCAAGTAATTGAAATGATAATAGTAAAAGTAAAGGCTGCTCAGGATACATATACACTTATAAGCACCTAAGAATAACATCTAAGTATTCTAATTACTCAACAATAACAGCGGGTGCATAAATCCACCGCACCGCCAGCCGAGGGCAGTCAAAGTCGCCCCTTGTATAGGTATAGTGTGAACAAATGAAATCGCCGATTTTGACACGCAAACAAGCGAAAGGATAACGCGAACGCAGCAGGATATATTAGTGTTTGCACTGCTGTCAACGCATCAAGCCTTTTGTCATTTGTCAGATGGACATAGACGTAATGCCTCATGTGTCTAGCAACGAAATCACACAGATCAATGACCATTGTCGGAAATGCGATGCAAGCGAGCGGGCTGCTACAGGCGCTTAACGCCGAGCAAGCAACGGACCGGCGCATTAATTGTTATTCTTTTTTTTATATCTTTTGTGATGGAAGATGCAGCATCCCGCAGGCAGTTACATGCGCACACACGTACCCAAATAAGGACGGGCGTGTAATAAGTTGAGCCGATAACTCCGAGAAGATAGTTGAAATGAAAAATAGCGCGCTAATAAATCAAATAAGCGCAGGACATCAGCAAAGGTGCCAGAGTTTAGGTATTAAATACATACACACACACACATATGTAGGTATTTGTAGAAATGTGCGCGCGCAATTTTCCTAACGGACAGAAAAACAGGTTTTCATTGAAATGCCGTTGCACGCGTATTGTCCAAGTTCATGGCCCATCTTCCGCACAGCCTTCTATGTAGTTAAGTAAAGTCCAGTGCAAGTCGTGTTCCTTCGGACTTCACCTTGAGCCTTCAACCTTTTCTTGTCGTGTACCCGTGTGCTCTTTCGCGTAAACAGTTGACGACAATGTTATCCCCTATGCCTTGATCTTCATTGCGCCATTTAAGGGTGTCTCTCTCTTGGCATTCAAACGCTAATTGCGCTCTCCTGCCGCTGGCTTCTCCCACTTGCCTTGCATGTCACACAGATCAGCAAATGCTGAACTTTTCATCTTAAAATTAAACCATTTTCATTTGCTTGTTTAATTTCAATTTGTCAATTTCCTGTTTGACCCACCACTCAGCGTCAGCTGGCCATGTTAAGTGGAGGGTTGTACCGAAATCTCGGCGAATCTGCCGTAAAATCTTGTGTGTGTTTAATTGGTTTTGTGAACTTGGCAGCATTTGGGGTTAAAGTTATCTCAATTTAAAGGGCACATATGGGCGCTTTTAAGTGAATTTTGTAGGGTTGTAATTATATGCGATATGTTTTTGTAAGTGGTAGTCAGTTTCACCATTTAAGAAGGCGATGTTGGGAAATGATCTCTAAATTGATAGTTTTTTTTTGCGCGCTCATTCGAGTGCAAAAGAAGATGGCGGAAATACCTGTATAAGTTACATTAAATATCTATGATTAATGAAAAATAGATTAAGATAGGCTGCTATGATATGTCGCGTACATTTTATTCCTTCTCAATGATTTGGTGTTTGGAGATCAGTTTCCCATAGTTCGGTTTGGATGATACTAAATAAGTCATTCTAAATTGTATGTCTATGGAAATGCTTGCATTCATTATTCACTCAACATTCGAAAGGTTAATATAGATTTGATATTCATACTTCTTTAGTTCATTCAGCACTTCTTGGAACTGTGTCTGGAACTGTGTATCTAGGGCTTTCTGTATAATACATAGCTTATTTCGGTCTGAAGCATCCTTTTGGCTGAATGCTGCTTCAAAGTCTTTACGGAAACATTACTACCAATAATTCCAAACTGATTTGAGTTTAGAATATCAATATTACACCATACACTTTGAAGGAGATTGAAAAAGGGGTTGACCTGCACGGTTTCGAATGCCTAAGAACTAAATAAATAAGAAAATTTCACCAATATCAAGTTTGATCTCGGTAGTTATTTAAATATATCTATCAACTTCGCCCACTCGGCAACTTCGATTGTAACAGTCAAGAAGAAATATTTTATAGAACTATATGTTTATCAAATGAGGTAGCTCAGAATTCGACGTTCCAGAATATGATTCTGTGAAAAATATATGACATTTCGGACATTGGTGATGACGTTGGAGGAAATATAAAAGATATTGCAGTAGGGAGTCTGAGAAGATTTAGATTTGAAAACCACCGATGTTCAGTAAATTTTTGAGCTCTGCCGCATCTCTCACGACCTATTAGCGAGAGTTCACGACTTCTTTGAACACAAATTGATATCCAACAAAAAGGAAATGAGTGGACTGAACACTTACTTAAATCCAGTGAAGAATAAGTGGATATGTATGTACATACGTCCTTAATATGTGTTTCCATTTTATATTGATTAAAAACACATGGCCTCTCTTTTTTTTCAGACAAAAAAAATAATGCTAGAGCGAAATATCCTGTCTTCATAGACTTAATTTTCAATTAAAAGACATCTTTTGTCCACCGACTAGTCTGCAACAAATTGGAGCGTTAAATTTCACCATTCATATGCAAATTACGCGCACAGAAATGCTCACTAAGCTGACCAGTGTCCAGCCTTGGGTATAAATATTCCCGCCAAATAGTATAAACGAGCAGCTCAAGCCCACCAACCCACAAAATTCAGTTGCGCATATGTATGTGTGCGTATGTAATTATAAGAGTTGAACTATTTCTTAAAACAACAAAGAGCATGCATGTGGTGCGGTCAAATCGACCGTTACGCCGTTGTTTTCACGATCGTCAAACCGCGAACACAAACGTAAACGAATACCAACGAGAGCATACCTTCAAAAAAGTGACCATAAGAAACCAATACACTTACAATTACGAAGAGAAGATATGCAGAAATATGTACTATGTGCCTTGATGCACCTTTTTCCGCTCTAATTTTGATACTCCCTATCTTCGTCGGTATACTTAAATTACCTGCGATGTCCTGCGCGCGTTTGTAAAAATACGTTAGGCATTTTTTTATTGTAGCCGCTTTGTTATATATACATACATATGTACATTGTCTAAAGGTGTTCATATAAATATGAAAACAAGAAGAAATGTGGAAAGAAGAAGACTTTGCAGCCGCTGACCTCTTCGTTTTTTACTACGCTGACAACTGCTATCGTCATGATGAGGCGATCAAGCTGACAGTTATGGTATTAGATAAAAAAATTTTTCTTAAATCAGCCGATCATAAGATGGAAGCTCATCCAAGCTTCGATCGAATCCATTACTTCTTATATTGACCAAGTTCATTGTAGGCTCTCTAGGATAACAAAGAAAGCCAGTGACTATGAACTTAGTTGAAGCAAGCGTTATTCACGAGTTCTGATATGACCACACGAATGCCCACGACGAGAAAATCCGCATAAATAACCAAGTGGTAACCTTCGACGGCGTCCATCAGAACTAACTTGAGGGAACGAATATCTGAAAGAACAATAAAATTCAATTCTGTTACATATGTACAAGTATATCGTAATTTTTCCACTATAACGCAGCTTTGAAGATAATGATACTAAAATGGGCTGTCGGCTTCATACCAGAACTTACACTGTATGTCCCCTATTTTCAATATATTTCCACAGTTTGTATCCTGTCGCTTCACTGAAACAAGTAGCATTATCTCAACTGATGTTACAAAATATCGTTCGAGTTACAGAAGGGACTGAGGCATTGAATAAGTGATAATATGGTATTATTACCTCCCAACCTTTCTTAAGCAACCTTTCTGTCTTCAGATGACACTTGAAGAGAAGATTGTCTTTTAAAAGTACTATTTGTGGAGCTTTATATATACATATGTATATGACTAAGAGCCTTTGAAAGAATAAATTGTGAAATTCTATGAAATCTATTTATTACATCATAGGCTTCCCAGTTCGATCACTATGGTCATATTAACAATTTTCCTGTATCTTTATGAGATACAAAGTAGGCTTTGTAGCAGAATGGTTTGTGGTGCTTTAGATTTTTGTGAGAGCAAGCCTAAGAGCAGTTGGAAGGCTAAATTGTGTAACCCTTAGAAATATTGTAAACAAAGTTATATAGGTTTACAGGTTCCGTCACGTCTTCTCAATGACTCCTTTTAATATTTTTGTCAAATAGACGCCGGGGCAAGGTCTAAAGTTATACGAAAGAGTTTTCAAAGTCATATCTTTGTAAAAGCTGTGCACTAACGGTCAGCTGATCGTCGTTAGATCAGAGCTATTGGTCTTGGCAGGCAATAGATATATTTAAGTCGTACCAACGGTTGTGATGTTATTTCTGTTTGATTATGTCAGTCATTGGAATTTATACGAATTGTTCATTCGATTCATCACCCTCTAATGTTTGGGAAAACGAAGCGGCGGCAGATAGAAAAATCCTCCAGCCTCATAGGTATAGCACCTTTGACTTACAAATATTTATTTAACTTCGATAATGGCAGCATTACAAATGGCAGCAGAACCCCATAAACTGAAGCAAACAGATATACAGTAGCTAAGCACTTCAAACTTGTGACAGCACGCCATTTTTTCCACATTTATCATTTTGAAATTGAGGCGAAAACCCTCCCATTTGGAAGTTAATTTCCGACAAAACTGGTCAAAAGCCAAACAAGCAGCGAAGAGCGCGTAAAACATGGGAAATAAAAATACGAAACAGAAGCACTTCAAGGCGCACCAGGTGACCTCTCCACACAGCAGCGGGCATGCAGAGAAATGTAGATCAACCAACCCCCTTGCAGAAAGATGCAAGAAGAAGTTCCCATCACAAAGAAGACACAAATTCTAAAACAAAACCAAAAAAAAAACGCTGCTATGAAAACACTTATCCTGTTTTCGGACATCTCAAACTGGACACATAAATAATCGAACTGATGGGAAATGCAAATTAAGTGCAAACTGACCCATGTACCATTGCGCACGGACACAATGCCATCAAAAGCGGAGCAGAATTCCAAAGCCGACGGCAGTTACAAGGACGAAAGGAAGGTGAGGAGTGTTAGGGCAAGTTCGGCAAAGGCGGCCTGTGCGACGAAATACAATTGGATTAAAATTTGAATAATTTCATTGCAATGCGGCCCGTTACTTGCCTAAAATTTTCACTTTTATCTCCTGCTTGACCATTGTCCAGTGTTTCATTAAGAAAACAACGAACGGCAATGAAAGAAATAGCAAAAGAATAGTTTTGTGGCCTTCGGCTTGCAGCATATGCGCGGTAAGTATAGCCAGAGAAGCTTTTAAGGGTTAGAAGGGTTGAGAACGTAGCGCAACAACAATTATTCTTGTGTCTCTTCATCCAGCCACGATCTCTGGCGATCTTTTGCCATCGCTTATCATCTTTGCACCCTCTTCAACTGCACACACGGTTACATGAAATCTACAAACAGATATCTTAACCATCTAAATAGCTGCTCTCATTATAATGAGCTTCGCTGTGGACCTTTGTCGGCCAATGGTCAGTTAGTTAGTTGACCGGTTAGCGGTGGAGGGGAAAGTTTGCGGATGGCATAAGTTAATTTATACGTTCGCTGCATTCACTCGTTTACCGGCTGACTTTGGCCTCATTTGAATATTAGTTGGGCTGGTCAGCGTAACGAATGCACCGTTTGATCCGCTGTGAAATTGTTGGTTGCGTTTGATTGCCGCAGTGGTCATCGCTGGCAGCAAAGGACAATTCTTGGTCCGTCCGGCAGGAGTGTACATACAACATTTTATCCAAGTTCCTTTGAGTAGCTTCGTTTGACCGCTAAGCACTGCCAACCCTGCTGGCGAAGCGGACTCGTCGTGTCCTCTTCTTGAACTACAACATTATTGGTATGAACTCATATTTCATTCGTGAAGATCTCTACATACTCGTCTTGTGTGCCCGGGTTAGCGGTCAGCTTGCCTGGCAGCAACAAGCGTATTACATTTTGATCCTTCGTGTTACACGCATAGACCAGTCAGAGGTTCACAGCGAAATTAGTTTTATTGCTGCGTAATTTTTCTTGGAGTCATTAAGGCGACCAGTTTATGGTAGTTGCAGTTTTATGGATGAGGTGTTTATGCATTTGTTGTTTTCACAGTAATAGTAATTTAGTATATATTTTCCTTGTATGAGATGAGCTTACATATACTTACATATATTAATCATAGATATGTATATATTTATATAGAATTTAAAGCTTTATGATTATAATTTTATAAAATATGAGGAGATCTCATCATAGCTCCATGAGTTCAGAGAGGTATCATTATGCTGGTAACAATCACCGACTTTCCGCCCTTCCGTCCGTATCAAACAAAATTTGTCAAAAGTTACGCCCGCAGTGACAACGTAGAAATTTTGTTTGTTTGGGGTTGCAATGTTGCCATTATTCAATTTGTATACATGATTTTGCACACATTTAGTTTTCTAGTTATAATTTTTCATAATGTAAAAGCTCAAAACTAAAGTCCAACAATTAAAAACAGTCTATCTATTTATAAATAAATGTATTCGAATGTGTTTTTGGATTAGTTTAAGAATATTTCTAATATATTCAAGTTTATTTTTTAATTACTAGAAAATATTGTGACTGGCAACCTGAAAAAATCCAATTTTCGCGAATATCATACCGTACGGTCTGTAGAACCGTTTTTATAAGATAGGTCATAGCAGCTGATACGGTCTACGGTTTTGCGTCGGTGACTGTTTCAAGGGAAAGAGTCCGATATCCGATAAGTTCTATAACAGATTGGATCCTTTGAGAAATATTAACACAGATCATCAATAAAACATCATTACCGAAAGTGTAAAATCCTCCTTAAATCATCGGTTTCCGAAAATAACAGGTATATGATTTACTATTGAAGAACTCAGCTGAATCTTTTGTTAATTTTAAATATTTAAGTTCACAGATTCTCACAAATTTTATCGCGCCTTTGCATGCCATGCAGATTGAATATTTAATCATGATTCCGGGTCTTGGTTAATGTTAACGCTAAATAAGAAATATCAGCACAAAACTTCAACCTTAATTCGTTACCGTAGCGCCATAAATGAAGCATTTCTAGAGAATTTGTTTGACAACAAAAATACACAACATATATTCTGTCTTTCTTTCAGTCTATCTAAAAACTGAGCGACACTCTTTTAGGTGTAAACGAAGAACCACAGATCGAAGTTAACAAGATCAAGATAATTAATTACCCATATGTTACTTTTATTTTTTATTTTATAACTACTTTACTTACTACTAACCAATAGTTAATGTTTTGACTAACTAAGTTATAAGCTTTCCGACGGTTATGAATTACTTGAAATTTATACCAGAATATATACACATACATAATATCTCTATGAAACTCGAAGCGAGTACAAAATAACGGATCGTAAGAACCAGTATCTAAATTTTCATATAATTGTATGCTTCGATCCGATAAATATTATTATATTAGCTTATATTTTTAGTTTTGTTATAATTTTGGAGCCAAACACGGCATGGTTTCGAATTTTTATAACATAAAAGGAGGAGTACAACTCTTTCCGTGATAACCTGACAGTATTATAAATATATTACAACTCTTATTATCATATTTTAGAATTTTTTTTCGTTTCTGCTAGCTAAATTTAATCTAAAATTATATATATATAAAATAATATATATATATATTATAAAGGCAGATAGCACCATGGATAGTGGAAAAAATTTCTCCAGCAAAATAAAACTTGAACTCTTTAAATGCAAATTTATAACCTCATTTAAAATATTTAATTAATATTGTAGCAATGCTCAAATTAATTGTGAACACAAATCATTAACATCTTCGATTTAGCGCATGCCAAGACCAATTTCTATTCGGCGCTTTTCACCTTTGAGGTTAGGTTTAATTGATAAATTGTCTTCTTCTTGCTTTTCTCAAAAACGTCGGCAATTATGGCAAGGAAGTATGGCTAAATGTAAGCGAAAGTGGGAAATGTAAATAAGAGCAAGTGTTTTTATATGTATGCATGTATTTATATAAGTATGTATGTATATATATATATGGTATATATATATATATATATATATTTATGTATAAATGTACTTATATACACAAAAATTCACTGATTAGGGTAAGTCATGGCTGAGTGTCATAAAATACTTCCTGTCTCTCGAAAACTATGCTTCACCAAAAAAGCAACAATAACAACAACTATGAAAGCAAAAATGATGAAAAGACACAAACAAGGAAAGCACATCGAAGAAATGTGGCAAAATATTAAATTTGTTCCGCTTTGAGAAGACGACTTCAGCTAAATAAGTGCGCAGAGCAAACACATATATGCGCGTGAATGTGTGTGTTTATTTTTATATATGTATAGCATGGCATGCCTTTGGAACAATAGGAAAAATATTGGCAACAGCAAATTACTGACGATATTATGAAAACTGGCAGCAACAACAACAGCACATATTAGTGAATACTTGTAGCAAGCTATTAGCCACAACAACAATAACAACAACAAAAAAATGTACCAGAAACCACAGTGATGTGCTCATATGTGCAACAATTATCACGTGCAACCATGAAACTGGTACAAAAATCCGCTAAGCGCAGACGCTCCAAGCAACAACAACAACGCAAGCAGCAAGAAAAAATTATTAAAAGCAAAAAAAAAATAGCAAACGTAAAGCGGCGCAGAATTAAAACACTTTCGTTTTCATCAACGAAAAATCAACAAAATGCATAAACACACATGCAATAATTGCAATAATGAGAAATAAAACAGCACAAAACAAAAATGTTGTAATTACAGTAATGGTGGAAAACAACAAAAACAAGAGTGAGGCGAGAAAAAAAAAACGCTAAAAAGTGAATTAACACGGAATCGTGCGCGCAGACATTTTCCAAAGCGGGGGAAGTAATGGCGCCAACAACAACAATTACAATTGCAATAATAATAACAACAACCAGTACACGCAAATCATACAAGATTTCAGTTGATGTTGATGTTGCTGGCGCCAAACGTTGCTTTTGGTGTTGCTGTCGGACTGGCTGACTGCAAGGTGCACGCGGCTATAAACAAACAGTAATAGATATATACATATATATTAATGTGTATGTGCACATTTATTGCGCAGACATGCCGTCAATTGCATTGTGCAGCCTCATAAATGCAGCAAATGTTGCGCGTGCGCAATCGAAAGCGTCGCGTCGCTTCAAGTGCTGCGCGCCGATCGCAGTCGATGAGCACGAAATGTGGAAATTCGATTCCAAAACGTCCATCATTGGTGAACGGACCAGAATGGCAATGATGATGATGTGCAGGCGCACACATCCACATACATATGTATATACATATATGTACATGCATTCAAGCACTGTCTGTGTTTGCAAAAAGATAGCGCGGCTGATGAAGACGCGGTTGGCTCTCAACTTGCTGATGGCGATGGCGTTGGAGCTGATATACATACATTATTATATACCTGCATATATACATACAACATTACCACACAAACGCACACACACACATGCATACGTATGCCTGGCGCTTTGGCTAACTTTCCGACATGCGAGGCCGCCGTCGCCGCGTCACTTTATTGCTAACTGGCCAATATTTATGTGCATATAAACTTTAATATATTGTATATGAATACACATACTTAAAGTATGTATGTGCATCTATTTATATAGTATATGGCAGCAAAGAGTTGGCGTGCTCGTTGTGCCAATAGCTTTGTCTTACAATAAAAATTAATTAAATCTTAGCCAACTCTTTAGAGTAACACCAACAAATTAGTGCATACACACATAAATACATACATACATACATATCTATGTATATGGTAGTTGGCCAAGCGCTTTATTGCTTTTGTTGGCGTTATTAATTTTATAAGTTTCTGCACACAACAAGGAAACTGCAACAACATTGACGTATCTCCGTCGTAAATTGTGTGTATTAATATGAGTATTTTATAACTTTTCAAGTGTTATTGCATATTTTCTCAATAATATTATATATGCACAATATACCTGATAAAAAGATATGAAAATAGACATTTGGTACTCGTAATTTAGATTAATTACACTTTTAATGATGCTTTATTGATAAAATTGTATACTCCAATTGGTTTCATAATTTGTTTAATATGTATATAAATGTGAAAAATATAATAATACTGGCTGAGCCGGTAAACGTTGTTTTGTCATGGCGTGCCTTGAAGATGTCATATAAGTTATTTTTAGAAAATATTTTTTTTTTACGAAATACTTAACGAAATAACTAACACTATAAGTGTTTGGTAGATGTACATAATTATAATTGAAAGAAGAATGAAGACAAAATATATATTAAATTCCAATTATAACTACTATATGCTAACTATATGCACATCGAAAATAGCTCATATTTCTACCACTAATTATTTCAATTAAAAATTAACAAAGTTTGATCTCTCAACGCGGAGTGTACAATATTTTTGTTCATTCTGTCATTAACGAATACAAAGAAACTGGTTGGTTTACTCATGCAAGCACATGCTACATAAAATCGTCGTTTGGAAAAGCATAGTGTACCCAAATCTAAGCCACAAACAAACAATCTTCGGCCTTGTGAGTAATTCATTGCCATTGCGAATGTCAATCTAATTGGAAATTGAGTGCGTTTAAATTCAATTGACACATCTGGAAGAATGGTGAAAGTATCGTGACAGCAATATGGCGAAATTTGCTATTCAAAATGCTGACTTCGTTTATGTTTTTCTTTAATTTTTTAATAACTAATATTTTGCCATTGCAAAGCCGTGATTCTTGGCAATAACTATTTTATTTATCTGTAATCTGCCAAAATCAATCTTTCTGCCAGCCAATCTTATATTTTATGTGTAGATCGGAAAGTATATTGTCGAAGAGAGTATTTTGCGAGTTGATGATTTTGCAGAAATCCGTCGGTAATTTTATATTCATCCAGTATTTTCATGTACAGCTAGTATTGCCATTACCAATATCTAACAATTGCTTTGAGCAAGTTTGGGCAGATGGTTCTTGAAGCATTTAAACGCCCATATTCACTGTCAGTAGTAGTCATATATCATACTTCATTTCACGATATATGTATTGTATATTTGTGCTGATTAAATCAGATGCACTTCGATTAGATGAACTTATACCGAAATAATTGATTGGTAAACTAGCAATGACAATGCATTGATCCTCAATAGCAATCAATGCTTCATTGTACATTGCGTCACTGAATGTAATCGTTGGATCGTTGCACTTTGTACGATGTCGATACAATATATCATCAGTCATCGAATTTTTGTGATTATCCCATACCATTTGTGATCGCGCCGGGAAACACTACGTCGATACTATCGCAAATAGTTGACGAATTTGCGTTCCTGTGGAGTATAACGCTGCTTCAGCTAGCATACCGTTAACTTCTAGCAAGCTTAGTGCAAGCGCTCGGGAGCAGGTAGCTAGCGGCAGCTGCAAGACTCTTTAAATGCGTGTTTCTCAAAACTATGTTTTTCGAACTGGTGACAACTGCAACTCGAAAACCGCTCAGTAGATTTTAATGAAACTTATACTGCTATAGCTAGCTTGAAATACATAATAAACTCGGGCCGGATCGAAGGATTTTTTTTTTTTTAATTTAAATTTTTTAAGACCAATTGATTTTTTCGTAAAAATTTCGAAAAAAAATTTGAGGCCGTCATTTTGTAAATTTTTGAAAAAAAAGCTTTGAACAGGCCAGGATTATCTATTTATAAAACTAATTTTTCTATCCGACTAATTTTAGATGAATCTCCAAGGACTTATGATTGTCACCGCAAGGACCTTTTTTGGAACTGGGTCAACACAGACAGCTATAACTTCGGAAATTAAAATTTATTTTTTTGAAATTTTCGTGACTTCAAGTCAAAACATTGTATAATAATGCCATATTACTACTTTTGTAAAAAAACATGATTTAATAGCAAAAAAAAAAATTACTGAAAATTCTAATTTTTTCGTGTCTCTGACTACCCCCAACCCCTTAACCACAACAGTCGCAGATAAAAACACTCAGTCGGCACTAGAAATGCCCCAAATTTGTTAGTTAATTTGGTTTCACCATTCTTTGTTCTCTCTCTTTTCAAAGAAATTTCTTATAAATGATATAATATATTTTTCCAGTTTGTTTCAAAACAAAAGAGTATGTAGAAAATTTCCATTAAAGTGGTATAACTGCTATAACCTACCATATTGTTAGAAAAACAAATAGATCTAGTTAAGGAAACAAAAACTCCACTACACAGAACCCTAATGCGTGCTTGAATACCAGCGCCGCGGTAATTAATTATAATGCAATAAAATCATATTTCTTCTATAATTACATGGAAAAATGATGCAAGTGCAGCAAGCAAAAACAAAGCGCAAGCATCAAGAAGCAACTAGGCGCAAGCTGCACCTCTTTCCGCCGGCGACGCTTTGAGAAGAAGCGAATTGTATACTCTACTGTGGGGCTCATGGCCGAACGTATTTTGCTTTTTAAATGTTTTCATTCTGCTTAGTTACATACATAGGTATGTATTTGTGTATAAACAAGCATTCAAAGTGTTGGCAACACTTTTAGTTTCTTAAAAGTTACAACAGTAAATTATTGGAGAATAATGCAATAAGACCATAAACTGGTGCATCATTGCTAATATATTATGACATTTTGCATTTCGAAATTAAAATTCAATTAAA